GACAGGGTTTCTCTGTGTAGCTTTGCACCTTTCCTGGAACTCACTCTGTAGCCCAGGCTGGCTTCGAACTCACAGAGGTCCACCTGCCTCTGCCTCCTGAGTGTTGGGATTAAAGTTATGCGCCACCACTGCCTGACTAGTGTTTTATTCTTTAAAAAAAAAAAAAAAAAGATTTATTTTTATGTGTTTGCCTACATATATGTCTGTGTACCACATGCAGGCCAGGTCCCCAGAAGAGCACATGGGGTTCCCTGGAACCTGAGTTACAGACGGTTATGAGCTTCCTTGTCGGTGCTGGGAACTGAACCCAGGACCTCTAGAAAAGCAGCAAGTGCTCTTAACCGCTGCGCCATCTCTCCAGTACCGTAATCATCTATTGTTGAGTGACTCTGAAGCCCAGTGCCACTGTGACCTTCTCTGAAGAGCTCTAGAGGAAGAAAGAGCTCTAAGTCCTTGTGAGAATTCTAACCCTGAGGATGTGAAGATCACAGACAATGCTGCCGAGCCAAGCCGCTGGGAGGAGGGGGAGAGCCTTCTACAAGGCAGTTTGGCTTGGCAGCTGTGTTCCAAACTGGCTACCTGATGACTGGCTGTTTTCCCAGGAGGGATCTGGGAAACAAGTTAGGGCAAGGACAGTCGTTGAGACATCACCAATTATCCTATCCAGGGAGCGGAAGGCCCAAGTGTTTATCTATCCAAGTGCTTCCTTTCCTTGAGCTTCCAGAAGCAAGCTTTAAAAAACAAAACAAGGGCTGGAGAGATGGCTCAGAGGTTAAGAGCACCGACTGCTCTTCCAGAGGTCCTGAGTTCAATTCCCAGCACCCACATGGTGGCTCACAACCATCTATAATGAGAGCTGGCATTCTCTTCTGTATACATAATAAATAAATAAATCTTAAAAAAAAAAAAAAGTACTTGTAAAAACAAAACAAAACAAACCACACCAGGGGAAAAGGTGTACAAAGCCAAGTCTACTAGTACACACCTTTATAGGCTGATCCCTATGAGTTCCAGCCAGGGATACACAGTGAGACCTTGTTGCAAAACAAAATAAAACAAAACAAACAGAAAACAAAACCCTCAAAAACAAAATAAAAAACGAAGTCATACAAGAGGTATTCTAATTAAAATGAGTTAGCTGGCTTTTTAGCTACGGTACAGTTGTGGTAAGGACATGGCCATGTGGTGCTTTGCCTCACTTGATTTTAAATTCCCCAATACCCATGCCTAACAGCTAAGAGAGTATTTCCCAGAACATTTGTTTTTGTTGTTGTTGTTTTTGTTTTCGAGATAGGGTCTCTCTGTGTAACAGCCCTGACTGTCCTGGTACTAGATTTTAAACCAGACTGGCCTCACAGAGATCCGCCTGCCTCTGCCTGTAGTGCTGGGATTAAACGTGTGTACCACCAGGTCCAGCTCCACAGCATTTCTTAAGTGCGTCTACACATTTATTTGTAAGTAGGGAAAGCTTTGGCCCAGTCGACACTGTCAAAGGCAGGGCAGTTCAGAACTCTCCAGTACACAGTTCCTGAAGGCAGTATGTTGTCAGGACTTCAGCTTTGTCCCTCCCTTCAGGCCCCAGGGTTTCCTCCCTCCTCAAAGGGGAGTGAGAGCAGTCGGAAGGGAAGGGCTTGTCTTACTTGGTCTTATACAGGTGCATGATGCCGTGGACTATCTCAACGGAGGGGTTGCCGCTGAAGAAGGAAATCTGATCCGGGAGCTGCTTGGACGGGGAGTCTGGGGCTGTGTTGGCCGACTCACTCTGCTTTCTGCTTCTCTGTGCAGACAGGGAGGCTGCCGAAGACTTCTTCTCTTCCACCGTCTCTCCCAACTCATCTTACAAAAGCAAAAATTAGCAGATCGCAAACAGCTGGAAATATGCTGAAGGAGCCTAAGTTAGAATTTCAGGCCAGAGAATGGACTGGGACGGAGACACTATGCTGTGCTGCATTAAGAACACCAGAGGCTGAGGCAGGAGGGCCGCAGAGGTGGGCTCTTGTGAGAGACCCTGTCACAGACACAGACAACCGCACTGACAGAACGGCTGGGGTTGGGGACATCTCACCTTTACAGCTTTCCCTGCCTGAAAACAACTCCTCACACCCTTGAAAGATACGGGAACACCCTCCAAAACCCCAGAAGGGCCCCTCCCACATCTATCAGTACCCCAACCCAGTAGCAAAGCACTTCCCACATCCAGCAGCACCCCAACACAACAGACAACATTCACCACCGGCTCCCCAATGAGACAGGCGATCAGAGCGCTCTGAAAACCGAACCTTCCAGTTCTGACCACACCTATGCTGGAGATGCAGAAGGCATCCACTCCCAAGCTGAGGAGGCCAGCAGGGGAGGGAGGGCACCGCAAGCTTACCCGGATGTACCGCTCCTCTAGAGCACTCGCCATCACAGTTAAGAATCCACTTCGTTACACTCAATCGATTTTTTTCCTTTATTATTCTTTTGGAACAGGGTCTTCTTATGTTATCTGTTTCCAAACTCCAGGGTTTAAATAACCCTTTTGCCTAAGCCCCCAGATTGGCTGAACTAAAGACATGCACCTCTACACTCAATTTTAGTACCACTAGGAAAAAAATGAAAGAAAATGAAATGTGCCCTCACAAAGTCACACAGAGCACACAAGCGGTGAGACGTAAAAGCGTGCTGAAGCTAGGGTTCAGTTGGTAGAGGGCTTGCCTATATGCGTGAGGCCGTGGGTCTGCACCACGGCACCAGAGAAACCGGATATAATGGTATGGACACACAATCCCCCAACATTCAGGAGGTGGATTAGATGTCCAAGGTCATTCTCTGCTTCATACACTGTGCGAGATCAGTGTGGGCTAAAAAAGACCTTGTGCTAAAAAATAAGTAAATAAATAAATAAAATAGAAAGACGCCAGAGGTGAGCCCCCATGGGCTCACAATTCAAAAGCAAGGCCATGTTTCCGAGGGCCTACCTGGGCTGGCCTTCATGGTCTCGATAATCACATCAGTCATTTCCCGACGGCCAAGGTGCTGGTGGATGATGGCTGCTCTCTCCCCTGGTGACTTCCCTTCTAGACAGGCGGCAGCTGAAGCCAGTGTCTTCTTTTTGATCTCCTCATCGGACATCTCCCCAGCTGATGAACACATGAATGATTTATACCCGATGACAGAACAAGTTTCCCCTCACTTCTCGGCACTCCGATCGATAGGGTTCCTCCGGGTCTACTGCGCTTCCCCCGTGGGCGAGACTGAGTTTGCCGTAGGTGCCTCAGCCCCTCCAGGACTCCTACAGCATACCCCCCACCCCACCCCTGGCAACTGTCAGTGGCATCCATCCCGATGATCTCAGAAACATGGGCTGTTCCAGTGAAATCACGTACTTAAAACAAACCCCCAGGAATAAAAGGCCGCCCAGAATGTTCCACGGTGACTATACCCAGATGAACTACCATGAGTAGCACCCCAGTAAACTGGGAGCCTATGTTGTGGCCAAAATGCAAGTCTCACGAACAAACGGCGTTTCGGAGACCCCGAGACAGGACTGAAATACCCTTAACATCGGCTCTGAGGCAGACCCCGGGCCTGTCTAGCGGGCACTCACCCCACACCACCCAGCATGCAGGAGAAGCTCTCACTCTTTTATCTTTTGTGGCATAAGTGACTTCATGATTGGGCCCGCGAAGATACCTGGATCTGCCTAATGCCAACTTTGTTGACTTTCAGAACTAGGGGTCACTTTGCGCCCTTGAAAGATGCTTGTAACCTTGAAATACATCATACTCCTTTGGTGCAAATTGCACATCAGGGTAAGACCATCTTCCCCTGCACCTCTAAATGCTGGACTCACGGAGTGTGTCCAGGGGTGCCATTTCCCGTGAACAAGCGTCATCCCGGCTCTCCGAGCTAAGGAAGTCTTCCTGTTTCCCTTTTCCATCAACTTATCACATGGATTCCGTGTACCACAAATTAGAGACCACGTCTAATTCTCCGCACGACGAAGCTCTGACACATACCAAGCCATCACCCTCCCACACACCTTTTTTTTTCTTTCCTGTTTGTTTGTTGGGACAGGTTTCCCTGTAACCCGGACGGACTGGCTTGTGGTCCGCCGGTCCTCCTGCCTCCCCCTCGGGAGTCTCCTCTAATCTCCTGAACCAATGTCACCAGGTAATGTTTGGACGATCAAGGAGGGGGAGTCGGAGGTGCACGGCCCACGAAGGGAACGGGCCCAGCTGGGTTAGCATCCCCGCTCCAGCCACTCACACCTAACTGGAGGCAAAGCATTTCACCACAGGGCCTGTCTGCCAGTTTGGAAAAGGCACCGAGCATCCCACCACCACCACCACCACCTCCAGCCCCAGGCCGCGCTTTCTCGAGGCGAAAGCGTCGGGGGGGGGGGGGGGGCGGGAGAGACGTCGAGCCAGGGGCAACCTGGTCGGCCCGGGGCCGGGGCCGGGGCGGGGGCGGGTGGAGCGAGGGCGGCCGAGCCGCCGGCCCTGCGCGAGGCCGCGGACTCACCGGCGGCGCTGAAGCCGAAGTCGGCGGGGACAGGCGAGTGACCCGCGAGCTCCAGTCGGATGACTACCAGTGACACACTCATAGGGCAGGCGCTGGTCGGCGTGGGCCCCGGCGGGATCGGGGAAGGCTGCGGGCCGAGCCCAGAGCCCGAGCGGCCCGC